TGGGGGTGGGGGGGGGAGGGGGAAGGGGAGGGGGGTTGGATTACTATTCCAAACTTTCTTCTCCCCAGTCGTCAGGATTCCACCAATTCCTGTGGAAAATTAATCTAAAAAAGTCACCACTAAGATAAGTGCTCCCACAAGGTGGCCTACATTTCTTTTGCTTAATTTCATCTAATTAATTCCAGCTGGATCACCTTAAAAGTTTCTCACCCTGCTTGGTGTTTACCTCATTCAAAATACCTGTAGACTGTCCTATCACCCTTAAGTAAACAGAAATTTTGAGTTTAGAGGGCTTACTGGATCTATCCTTTAGATCTTTATATTTCCTTTTTTTTAAATTAATACCTCCAGGTCAGTAATCTCTTTTTTGGACACCTTCAAATTTTTTGACATCTCTTTAGTGCTGTATTTATAACAAAGTACTTGTTCTGGGTACCCAATCTCAATAATGCTTTGTGGAAGCACTATATTTACCTCCCTTGTCTATGATGCGACAACTTTTGTTTATGTAGCTCACAGCAGCACAGACTGCTCATACTTCATCAATTAAAAAAAAACAACCAAAAACTGACCTGTTTTCATACCTTGCGTATACTTCTGTACATACTTTCCTTTAGTATTTCCTGAATCTATTATCTTGTTTTCGTAAGCCAGCCAAAAGTTATAGTATTCCCTGCCCACATTTTTAACTTCTCTAGGTCCTTTTACTCATTTTCTACTCACACCATACCTTAATTTGGCATCATCTACAAATATCATTAAAATGGAAGTTTATAATTTTTATGAAACAGGATGATTTCTAGCAATTTCTAAAGATTTCCCAATAAAGCCAAAATTTTCATAACAATCAGGAACTCCCTTCTTAATTCTCCCCAGCCCAAGAGACAAGCACCTTGACCCAAAGAGAATTACCTAATTCTGAAGAACCCTGACAGATGTTAATTTAAATCGCACAATGGGATCTAATCCCAGATTGTGTTTGCCAGGGCACAGGGGTCCCAAAATGGAGACCCAGTACCATATCCAGCTGATCAGAGGGATTGGACATGTGTCCCAAACCCATGGGCTGCCCCAAGTGCCACCCTGTAAGGCAAGCTGTGCAGCTTTAAATGTCCTGGTGTTTGGGTTGCACTGCATGCCTTTCAATGGGCAGGAGGTGGATGTGTCCAGGACCCAGGGCTGTACCTAGGTCCAGGACACAGTAGACCAGGCAGGATGCAGTCTCCTGCCCAGGACACAGCTGCACCATGACCTGTTAAAGGTGCAACCCACAAGCTGGGACATCTAAAAGTTTCAAGGCCTATATGCATCATGTAGCTTTAAAATGTCCCAGCATGTGGGCAGACAAGGTTCTTTGGGTAAATTTTGTGTCTTTTATTAGACCAACTAAAATAGTTGGAAAAATTCTTCTTTGCAAGCTTTTGGATAAAAACACTGTTCTTCAGGCAAAGGGAGTGTCACAGCTACAACCAACACCCCAGCATGTGGGCTGCACTGTGTGCATTCTAATGGAAGGGGAAGCCCCAGATCTTGGGCTCCTCCTGAACATGGAATGCTCAAAGGATGCACATGCAGCTGGGCTGCACATGGTCCGAAGTAGTCCTATTTTGGAAATTAGTTTCCCAGTCTCAGACTCTTACTCTAGCATGTTCATGCCACACACTGAAATTAAGTGCAATATGAAGCACCAATGAAGGGGACCAGTCACGGGGCAGCCCCTGGATCCAGGAAGCAGCTGACACTGTCCCTTGAAAAGCATACACCATAGCTGATGCACCAGAATATATAAAGTTGCAGGAAGTGGCACTATTTAGTAAACATGATTCGTCTTACCACCTAGTGCTATCTTAATTCTGTTTATGTAACTAAGGGTTTTTCCTTAAAGCTCCACTCTTGAAATTAGGAGGCACATGTGGAGGCTGCCTGGTTTAAAGTTTGTATCTAACTTCTCTAGATTAGACAAATGGCACTTCTGCTGATGCTTCTGGGAGCAAGGTAGTTAAGGGGTCTTTTCAGCTTCCCCTAGGTGAAGCTGTTTTGCTTTGTGTTTGTTTCTCTCTCATAATAAGAGGTACACTAGCTAGGGCACATCTAGAAAGGTATTTTTCAACAGTACGTAAGGGATGCCAAAATCAGACTGAACAGTTATTACAGTGTGCTAGCTAACACAAAAAACCCTAACAAAAGGAGAGGTAAATGGTAAAGTTAAAACTCTCTTCCAGTATTTTATATGGGGCTTTTCTTCTGGGGGAGTGTGGGTGTGGGGGGAGAGCAGAAGGGAAGCAGACATTTTTGATTTTGGAGTATTTCAGAATTGGAGGCATCCCCCTCTGTACTCCACCAACACATGTTTATCAGGCATGCTATGAAAGGTAGAAATTAAAGCTGATCCATATATATTTGTAGAAAAACATCATGGCACAAAGGGTAATCCCTACATTCTCAGTAACTTAAGACAATCTACACTATACTGTACAAACAGTTTTTAAAATAAAATTAATATTAGGGTTTCAAGTAATTTTAAAAAGGGATGAGTAACAATTCAAAATGGTGCATGTAAAAGAATGTGGAATTTAAAAACGCATAAGCATTAAAGGACAGCAACTTAAAAAAAAAAAAACCAAAAACCAACCATTCTGTTAAAAGATTATCAACAGAAATTTTAATTACCTCCTCTACATTAGAAGCAGTTTTGGCAGAAGTTTCCATAAAGATGAGTCCATGCTCTCGTGCAAATGCTTCACCTTCTTCTTTTCTCACTTCTCTTCTAGATTCTAAATCACTAAGATGACAAAGCAAGAGAGTTACTTACCTGAATGAGACTATACTGCAAGTAGTAACCTTTAGAAATACTTCTAGTCACGTCACATTCATTTGCATCTCATCAAGGGAACCATTCATACTTGTTAGAATCTTTATGTGAAGTCAAATTAATAGAAGTACAGCACCAATACCATAAGGGACACTCTTGGCTAGGTACAGAAATTATACATTAACAGGTATAAGCGTTTGGAAACCAGCTTAAACCTGTAGCAGAACAGAAATTCAGCACTCGTGGACCAGTTTCAAAATGACAGAACCCAATTTAAGACAGACCTGGATAGATATAGTATCAGATTTAATCAGTTTAGATTAGACCCGTTTATTGAATTTCTACTCCAGATCCCCTCCCGACTCAAGTTAGGTGACAGTCCTCCTGACATCTTAGAATGCTTTGCGGCCCCCTGCTAACCCTCCCTTTCAGTGCAGGTAGGCTAGTCTCCAGCAGTGGTCTTCTGCTCTGGCTGAGCCAGGTTGGTTCTGCCCCTGGGCTGTCATGGAGCTGAGGCAGCAAAGCCTCTGCTCCCCAGCCTGAATCTTACCTACACCAATCAGCCAGGTGGGGTAGTGGAGGGAGGGAAGGAGGGAGGCAGAGGAACAGAACCCCCCACCCTGGGAGGGTTTCCCCCCAAGCTGTGGTCTGCACAACTGGCAGGAGCCCCCAACTGAGGGGGTTTTCATCTGGCCAGGATGGGCTGTGCAGCCTCCTCCCTCCCCCTTCAAGTCACTGCCTCTGACTTGCAAGGGGGTGGGAACAGAAAAAAGAGCCCACAACCTTGGTCCCAGTCCATCCCCACCCCCCTGAGCTGGGGGGCTGCCCAGCTGAGGGGAGCCCCAGAGCTGGGGTTTGCCCAGCTGGGGGATACCAAATGCTATGGGGTCTCTCCCCCACACCTGGTCAGGCTGCACAGCTCTTCCCCCCACGAGACACTACCTCCGACCTGCAATGAGGGGGAGGGGAGAAAGAAAGGGAGAGGGTTGGGGAAATAGAGCACGCTGCCCTGGTCCTAGCCCCCTGGAGCTGGGGTCTCTGGGACAGCAACCTGCTTGGGGGAGAGCCCCATGGCATGGGGCTCCTCCCATCTGTGCAGACCCCAGCTTGGAAGTGTTAGAACCAGGGCAGAGGGCTCCATTTCCACACCACCATGGGTCAGAGGCACCGACTTGCAGGGGCAGGGCTGTACAGTCTGACCCAGCCAGGCAGGGAGAAGCCCACATCACATGGGTCTCCCCAAGCTGTGCAGACCCCAGCTTGGCAGGGCTGGGACTAGGGGCAGGGGCTCAATTCCTGACTTCCCCCACCCCCCCCAGGTCAGATGCACCAACTCATGGGGGTGGAGTTGCACAAACTATACCAGCTGGGCAGGGGGAAAGCCCCCACTGTATGGGCTCTTCCCAGCTGTGCAGACCCCAGATTGGAGGGGCTGGTGCCAGGGCAGGGGCCTCTACTGCCCCCTCCCCTCCACTGCCACAAGGCTGGGGAGAGATTCTGTGCTGGCTTCCCCCCTCCCTCCCCTCCCCCCTTGAAAGCAGGGGGTTGGGGCATGTGTTGGACAGGCAACCATGGATGGCCCCAGCTTGGCTGGGGTCAGCTGCTCTCAGGAACAGCTGATAGGTTGGGAGGTGTGTGGGAGTGCCTCCCACTTTCTGGCCTCAGCCAGTGCAGGCATCTGCCTGTATCCCCCTACCAAAGGGCGAATGCAAGTTCCATTTGTTAATGATAGAGGTGCATGGATACATTGGTCCCATATCGGATCAACACCAATATAATGAAAATTGACAGTATCAACAATTGACTTTTTTTGGCTGATAATGTCACTGATAAATGCCCCCATGCATGCGCGCAGCCGGACACCGCTTTCCAAGCTGCCAAGCCACATATCGGTTATCATATCAGTATCAGCCAGTAAGGCTCCTTAAAAATTGGCAATTGGTATCAGCCCCAAAATTCTCTATTGGTGCACCCCTAGTTAGTGGTGGAACTGATGCAGCTTAGAGCAACCTGCACAGATTATATCAATTCCACCTCAGGCTTTCTGACAGTCTGTACTTGGCCCTTATTACACCTATTTTTAGCCGTCAGTCCATTTTGACCCAGGTACCTACCTGAAACCCCACATTAATTGTGTCACAATTTATAAGATGCCACATGTGCAAGCTATATATGGCATGATAAAATAGCAAACCAAATGCAAAGATGTTCGACATACAATGTAGCACACATTCACTTGCATGTGCATGTTAATACCCTAAGGTGCATGCCCTCTGACAGACTGCAGTGCTCTTTTCCCACAAGTGCTGAGTGTGTGTGTGTGGGGGGGGGGGGGGGGGGG